TATATATATATATATTTACATATAATGTAAATAGGCAACTATATTGAATAGGAACTTACACTACATCCGTTCCATTTTGAGTAAGCGAGATTCTTATAGGTTTGATGCCATCCTCGGTGTTCACGCAATCTTGCACATTGATCTCTTCACGTAACATCTATACATAGTATATACATATATATACATATTAATCATTCAGATTTTTCATTGTCTTGTTAACTTGTGGTTAGATTTAATCTGATGTTTTATTGAATGGGCTTCATCTATGATAATATCATGAATGAAGCCTATTGGATAAAATATCAGGTTAAGTTTATCACAAGTTAAACAGAAAAATCGAATCTCTGATACATTTTTTCATTAATTAGAGCCATTACCTTAGACGTACAATGAAGGGCAACTGATACACTCTCGAATATTGGTACCCTTTGCCTTTCCATTAGGTATTGAAGCACTAACAATCCGTTCATCAAGTCATAATATTCCCTGTAGAATGAAATATTATATAAGATTGATAAGAAAGAAATGATAACAATTAAATATTAAATCTAAATTAAGAGATTTATATTTTCTTTGAATCCTGTATAATTTCATATTATATTAAATCATATGAACGTACTGTGTGGAAACAGTCTCTCCAAGTATAGCTTGTCCTTGACGATACGGATAAATGACAAGAACCAAGGACTCGCTACGGATAGCTGCCAGTTGAGCTGCTTCAATGATGCCTGCGCTATTGCGCGTCTGATTGTCAATGACAAACAGTAAGACTCGTGCCGTCTGTTTTGCCTCATATTCTTGGGCTATTAATTCCGGCCCCCACTGTGACACTTGCTGTGATACATAATTTAATTGTAATATCTCGTATGCAATTATAAAAGAAAACAAGGATAAACTATTTAAATTATTTACAGGATTATAATAAGTAATGCCAAGATTCTGAAGAGTCGGTATCGCTATATCTGACCTCCAGGTAGTTGGATTACAAGACCCGCCCAAAAATACCTCATACGCCATCCTCTCTAAGAAATTAATCAATAAATAAGTAAATAGTTAAAACATTGTCTCGTTGACATAATTAAATAGTGTCCATAATATAATAAGCAGATTGTTTGTTGACTTACTTGAACCAATTTTGTGTTTAGTATCTTTTCCATCACCGTGTAATGAACAAGAAGCGTTCATAGGAACAACTGCTGTTCTAAAACAGAATAAGAATAATGTAGTGTAATCTTTTTATTTTTTTTTTAAATTCATATCTGATCTAGTATTATCACACTCAATATGGTGACTATTATATTTGCAAAGGACTTTATAAAGTGATTTTTCTATTTACTCGACCGTGCGTATAAACCTGCATACATACACTGATTCATCAAATTCTGTGATTAGGAATAAACTTTTTCAGTTTCACAATCTTCACTATTTTGATTATAACTATTATAAATACATTTTACAATTTTTACTATGCACGAAATATAAATTATGACATGTACCTAAAAAAAAAAAAAAAATTTTTCTATACTTACTAAAATGAAGATATTTTCAAAAAATTTATCAAAACTCAGAAAATTTTTATAAAAATAATTTCTTTAAAAATTCTACTTTTGTTATAATAATCACCAAACTATAATAAGTTTATTATTAAATTTTTCAATAAGTTTTTGTTCAGAAAACGAAACATTCAATTTGAATGTTTCGTTTTCTTTTAAAGAATTTTTTTTCAATATTTATGAGAAGAAATGATGTAATCATAAAACTATTACAGCGAAATTATCCATCTTTACATTTCTTTTTTTCATTATTATGTTAACATATTTATTTAAATTATTTTTTAAATACATTTTTTAATATGATTAGTTACATTTTAGTCAACTTATCTTTTCTAAATATAAGCTTTCTAAAATTATAAAATAATCTAGATTTATTTTTTTGTACATATATCCATCCAATAATTCTTATTGTTTATATTACGTTACCTGAAAGGAAGACATTTCCATATATATTGTAAAGAATATTACTAAGATTTCGGTAAGGTTCGATTCCAGGTAGATAATACTTTTCACAAAAATAAATTTATTTACAGATTTCGCATATTAAGATCTCTTTAATAGATGCCAATGAGCATCAAAATTTAATTGTGATATTATTTCAATAGTTTAGCTGTGTTTTTAAATAACTATATTTTTATATATATACAAATTTCACATCGAATTATTTAAGCGTTCAGCTTTGGCCGTTATGAGTCTTTAGTAAGCTAATTATGGTCAAAATTAAATGTTGGAATAATATTAAAAATAAATTTATCTCAGATATATACTGATATATGCGCGCCAATTACTTTTGAACTTGCAACACAATTAAACTAAAATAATAATAATCTTCCCAAATTAGATCGTCGATTTTAAAATGTTAATAACAATAAAAATCGACAATAAAAATCTAATTTAATTTGAGAAAATTATTATTTCAGTTTGTGTTGCAAGTCCAAAAGTAATCGACGTGTTTGAATTTTGTTTGTAAACATGAACGAAAATGCATGAAAAATAAAGAAATTTTTCTCCTCAATTTGAGTAAACATCCTATAAATGGTTATTATAATGTTTCGATAAATATATTAGAAATATCGTTGATGAAATTCATTATTCAAAACTAGTAAATATTGGACAATTTTTTATGCAGGATGCTAAAAACGACAATTATACCGGATCATGAAATTACATCAGTTTGTATAGCAGAGAAGAAACATCATCAATGATATCAGTAAGCGAAATTTCATCAGAGTGTGGTAATATGATATTCGAGATAATAGCATGAATTAATCGTTTTGTAACTAAACGTACTTCCAGATAAATAATTTTGTAATGACAGACATTGCATTTCGTTTCATCATTGCTTTTAAATATCCCCACTATAATCATAATTAAATGGTCAATACCTTTGCCTGAAACATAGAATTCTCCGTTTATCTAATCATCGGACAAAGATATGCATGTACATAGGAAACAATTATTTATTCTATAAATAATAATTTGTGAGGGGAATGGAAGCCGTTATTATATAAAATAATATTTGATCATATTCAAAAATACTGAAAATTACCTAAACAAATCAGACCTGTCAATATATTGTAAAGATTTTTTTATATTACCCTTGCTCGCACAGATGTGCCAGTTCTGCGGCAAATATGTAGAATTCTTCTAACATTATATAGGCATCAGTATATTCAGAACAATTCTCAGCATCGTACTGCAGCTTGTTGTATAGCTGCAAGCAGTTTAGAAGCAACAGCATCACGTATATTTCTTGTATCTACAACAGTAAGCAATTCTCTTTTCTTTGTTTTGGTATCGTTAGTCGAAGAAAAATTAAATAAGATGAATATACTATACTTACATTGGAAATACTGGTGATTGTAAAGTTTATGCTTGATCAATACCTGATGATAAATATTCCTCATTATTTAAAACTGATTTAAATGCCTATTTCTGGAAATATGAATGTATGTTCTTTTCAATTGGAACTTTTAAGTTTTTCTATAAAAAAAAAAAATGTTATATATAATTCTGAAATGTATAATTCTCTAATTAAAATAAATAAAACTATTTTATTAAACAGAAAATAAACTTTATATAATAATGTAACATAGGTTATAAATCGATTTAATTTTAAATGTAACAACTGTATTAACCTTGATGACATTTTTGTCAGATATGTCAGTACATTAAATGCTTTCCATCAAGGATAAAGCTTTATATCCTAGTTTCTTCTAATTAAAAATGTTTCAAGTTCACCTGAATAAAACACAAGAGAGCTTTAACATATTTACATGTTTATTTTTCAGACGTTAGCACAAGTATATAAGTTATAATTTTTTAATTACAAAAGAGAAGAAAGAAAAGAAAATATTCATATATATATGTTGATGTTCTCATTGCTATCATTAAAATGTCACAGGGTCTTTTTGCGGCTGAATTAGTATAATATATTTTTGGAACCTAAAGTAAGAAAGGCATATATTTAATATTTAATGAAAACGAGAAAGAGTTAAGTCTAGAAATAAGAAACAGACCTACTCACTAATATTCCCAAGAAATACTATCATGTAATCATTTTCCTTTCTAATTACAATAACAGTTGATTCATTGACCCATACAAATAATTTGCATCATGTTAAAAAAAAAGTAAAAAATAACAATCTCTTATCACACCATAAATTTTGTTAGTTACAAAAGAAAGTTAAACCCCCTGTCAGCAGTGCCGCTGTTTTGAGACTTTCAAGACCGCAATTGATGGATGCTTATGTATACACACAACCACCTCGCGTTACCTCTCCGTCATTGCTTTACGTTAAAGACAATCATAGAATTGTCGCACAGAATCGTCGATCGATTAAAAAAATTACTTATTATTTTTTTAAAGAAATCTCGATATACAAGAATTATTTTAGATTATTAATCTAAATAAAGATGGCGCACTCGACAATTTTTTGTTGTTTATCATTCTCTATTCTACCTATCGTCATCGACGATTCAGGAAGAGATCGCGCGGCAAACAGCAGCAAATATCGAAAGAAACAGGTACCTTTGATGATGTTACATGCCCATAGACAAAGAACACGATCACGATTTTTCGAGTGCAAGACGGAGCGCACCATTCGTATACACTCTCGCTGTCATTCACTCTTTCTACATTTATCTCTGTCCGAACACTAGCGAACACGTTGATAAACAATGCGTATCCACGCGTATCGCGCGCGGGCGCGCGAGCGCGCGGGAGAAAAATCAACAGCGGTGGCGACGCAAAGAGCTTCGCCGCGCACTCCCGCTATTGCTCATACTTATTTATACACTTGTTATATTTAAAATGAAAGAGAGGCGCGCACTAAGTAACTGGCGCTAGAGACGTAGACGTAGACGGCGGATGGAGAAGCACAGCGCCGTACGGATAGTCTATCACATTTTCACCGGGATGGTACGTTGAAATTATTATCATTTTAATCTTGCTCCACCGAATGTTGAGCGAGGATGAAATGAGTGCACCTGGGTGAAGTCACGGTCGATGACGACGTGCGTCATGTGCGATGCGATACGACGCGATTGCGAGCGAATCAACGGAAGTCGTTGGACTCACTCGTAAATATTAATATAACAGTCTTCGCGACATAGAGCGAATATTACTATATTCCGACACGTTGAGCGTTTTTAAACGGGAATAATTTTTATCTCTGCGAAGACACCAGGTGCTTTTTTCGGGTAATGGAACAACCGACGCTTTTGTATACCTCCGGACGTCTTTTTACCCGGATGTCGTTTTACACGCGAGAGACACTGGTGACTGGAGCGTTGAGCGACATTTATCGCTTGTTGTCTTTGGCGACGAGATTGTCTCTCTGTCTGTCTTGCCTGCCTGCCTGCATGCGTGCGTGCGTACAAACGTATGTAGGTACATGCATGCACTCGTCCCCGCGACGCTGCGCGACTCCACGCGACTCTTCGAGCAGACTCGAGAATGACGTAAACCTCCAACAATGAAGCGTGATGTCACACATGAAGTTCGCACAGACTCTCCAAACCGTCGCGTTGCACCTCCACTCCGCACGCTCGCGCCTTGCGCATGCGCGCAACTTCGGGGACCTTGAATTTTCTCCTCGGCTCGTATTGTAGCAACATGTTTGATGATATGGTGAACTTTCTATTAAGACTTTTAGGCGACACACATCGATACGGCACGATTGGACGCAGCAGGAGTGGGTGCTTTCTCTAAAAAAGGTTTTAGATGACATACAATCGACATAGATCTTCATATATTTAACATAAGTTTAACATTTCTCTTTTTTTTTATTGTAAAAGTTTGCGAATAGTTTGGGAAAGTTTAGGAAAATAGTCTCATAATTTAAGAAATAATTTATTTATAATCAATTAAAATTAATCGAGCATATAGTTAACAGAAATATTTAACATTTCTCTTTTTTTATTGCAGTTTGAAAATAGTTTGGGAAAGTTTAGGAAAATTGTCTCATAAGTTTGGGAAATAATTATAATTGTTAAATAAATTTAATAAATAAAAATCAATTATTATATGCGGTAACATTTTCTATTTTATCGATTGTACACTTACATCTATTTTGACTATGTATCCTATAAATTCTGTTATGTTACTTTAGAGTAATCTTATTCCATCACACATCAAAAGATACGAAGTTCTTTTTCATTTCAAATAATTATGAAAAAATAATTGTTTATATTTAAATTACATGTGCATATTGCATAGCATGAAAAATCAATCTAAGTGAAAAAATTATTCAAAGAAAATTAAAATTTGAGATACTATAATCTCATTTTAATTTTAACTTCTTCTGCAAAGCAAGAATGAGACAAATCAGAGACTCACTGAGCGATCATAATAACTAATAAATACACCCAATGCTTGTATGTGTACGATGATATAAAATTTTTCACACACTTTTTCACAGGAATTGAAAAGAAAATTAATAAAAATAGTTAGGAAAATCTATTCAATATTTTCTGAAATGTACAAAGGGCGTTGTAAATTTTGACATATGTAATTAGAATGTTTCGAAAGAAATTAGTACCTATATATATTAAATAAATCATTGCGTTACAATAACATGATTCATACTGCCGATCTTTAAATTTTAACAGTATTTTGGCCTTTTTTTATTACAGAAAGCTTTCTTGTAACATGAAATTGAATAACATGAAATTGAAATTTAGTAACAAGAAAATGTTCTTTTTTTTCTGATATTTAATGTTCTATAACTGATGTGTAATTGAAAATTGTTGATAAAGATTATTCGGCATATCATACTGAATAGTTTAATATACTTATTAGAAAACTTGCTTCGCATTCTGGATTTTAGTTTTATATGCTTATGTAATCGTAAAGGATCCTTTACGTAGAAGTCGTAGATAGTCGTGAAATTTTAAGTCATAGAAAATTAATGAATCGCAGTAGAATATGAGAAGAATACTCGACTATGATTAGTCAATTTTTTACGATGTTATGACTTTTATTGTAGGGATTTACAATATGTAAAGGACCCTTTAATGCGGAGTCCTTTATATAAAAATCGTAGACGGTCGTAGGAAACTGATCAATTCCAATCGAGTATTCTCTTTATATTTGGTTGGTTTCCTATGACTTAAGATCTCACGGCCGTCTACGATTTCTGTGTAGAGGACCCTTAAGTGGTTCACTTGCACATTGTAACAATTGTCCACTGCCAATCGCAGCGACTTCTGCGTAGAAAGTTAAAAAATTTTTTTTCTAGCGTTGTGATTGACTTGTACGCAGTTGCCTCATGTACAATTGATATACCTTTATCCGCTCTTATTAGAATGTTAAGTAACCGAAGTATTTTTTATATACATCTTTCGTTGCTCATTTGAAAAAAACATCATGTTCTTTTAACAAAATCTTATTTAAGAAATCGATAAAAAATGATATGAAAAAGTTTAATCGCTTTTTATCGCTTTTTAATTATGAATTATGGAAATTAACAGAAGAATATCGCACATCCATGATCGCACATTCTTGTCGATTCCTTTCATAAATATTCTATTTATTATAATATTATATGATTTTGTATCATGGCACACAAAAAACCTAAGCCAGTAAAACGTAAGCAATAAGGAAATCAACATGTTGGATTGGCTTACTAACATTTTATTGCTTAAATTTTTTTGTGTCACGGCTTTGACGATAGTCAAAATTTTTATCTGAAGAAAAACACATTTTAAAATATAGAATATCGTTTCATGAAAAATTCTTGAAAATATGAATGATTAGCATCAAAGAGCAAAATAACAAAAAATGATAACTTAATTAAATAAGAAATATTATAAGATAATTTAACACAAAAATTTGGTATTTGATGTCATATAAATAATGACACAATAAATATATATCTACACTGCATTAAAGTTGCTTGCGATATATTTAAATATATCTTAAATGCATTTTAAAATAAAAATTTTTATTTTATGATATTTATCGCAATAAGTTGTAAATTTTAAGTTGCTATTAACATTATCATTGAAATTGATAATCAATTTAATTTATGGGATTATATTATTTCAATGATTGAGTTGCAAATTCAACGAAGATGTATTTAAAATATATGAAACATTATTAGGCACTAAGATCTAGATGCGACTACTTATAGACTTTTTTCCCAATTTTTGAAAATTTATATATATAAAGCCTAATATCATTATTTATTACCGAAAATATAAAAGTAATGAACTCATATTAATGACAATTTATGATAATTGATGATTTTGAAATAACGCTTAAACTTGTTATAAAATATAATTATGTATATATTTTTATATATTGATAGAAAAAAATCAAATTTCAAACTATATGATTACAACTACAATCACGATTTCCAAAAATTCGGATTCTGCTGTAATCGCCTCTCGAAGGTTTCATACCAGCTCTGTAATGTAGACAGAGGCACAAAGTTCTCAGTAGGATTTGGTGTCATTTGAGCTTGTGTCACTGTAAAACTAGTCACATAATTCACAAAACTTGTCAACATCTTTTGTACGAATTCCATGGAAGAACTGGTTGTAGTTGCGGCAACGGTAGCTATCTGCTGCTCAATTACTGTCAATGGATCAACTGACACACCAATCTGCGCAAAGTGCGAGATCTTACCAACCCCAAAAATTCCTAAATTGCTATTCACAAATTCATGGTTTTTCTTCAAATTCGATATCTTGAAAATGGCCGATGGCTTAGAATTGGAAATATATCCAAGAAATTGCCAATTGGGTGGTGCATTTGGATCTGGCCAACTAAAATATACTGTAAACAATGATTTTTCAATGATCAATTTTAAAAAAGGACATCTCTATACTTCGTATGCAAAACTATTTTATTGCTTCGTTTCAAAATTAATTCGCTGTCTTACCTGCACCTCCCATACCATCTGAGAAAGGAATAGTACCAGTCAGGAACACTACTATGTGATTTATATTGTCAGCATCAGGTATAGTAATCAAAAACTGATTCTCACCAACTTGTTGAAAGTCGGTTTGGACCTAAAAAATAAAAATTATGTTTATACAAAGTTGTACATAGAGGATGAATGTAATGTGGCTGTCAAGTTTTACAGGAAGATTCTATTAGTTTCTAATTTTCTAATTAATGAGAAAAACCATCATAGGATCAAGGATTCTTGTGAAGATAAAATGGTTTCATATTGAACAATTTTATCATATATATGCATCATAAATTGTTACTACTTAAAATTTCTTTTTAAAAAAATAATGATAAAAATTCGATCATTATTTCATTATATTGAGGATCATTGTTTAAGGTATTGATTGTTTTTATATTTATGATTTTGATATTAACTTTAATGTACTTAAAATTACACAGTATCAAAAATATCCAGCTTATTAGCTTTATTTTTCTTTAAATTTTATTCATTTTGTGAGTCTAATTAATATTTATTATTTCAAATTAAAAAATGTATTATTCTCTGTATTTCCTTTATACATACTAATCTTATTAATACAAATTGATAAAGAATTAAATAAATCTCAATTAAATTTAACTAATATTTGTAATAGAAAATTTAATTGTCATTATTATTGAAATAAATATATAATATTAATCTAGCATTACTAAGATAAAAATATTTACAGCAAGATTACTAAAAGTAAAGTTAAATTTCACTTAATATAAGAACTTAAAATTCATACTTGAGTCATAATTTATAAATTTTTAGAATATTATCTTGTGGACTCAAAAATTATATAAACAAAATTAATTTAAAATTATTATCAATAAAATTAATTTACACACATACACAAAATAATTACAAAATTTTATATTACAAAAACAGAGTAATCGAAAATAATTACTTATAGTATTTGGAGTTTATTGTAATACTTTGCCAGCTTAATAAAATAGAAACTTTTAAAGTAAAGAACTTGTTTCACAAATTGATTAAATAAATTTTATATTATCATTACTACGAGAGATAATAAAAACAGAATTCGATACTTACGAGTCGTCCAGCTACTATTATACCAAGCATTTTTGCAGCACATCTAGATCATTCTATTGTATCTCGTTTATCATAGAGTACACCAGAATGTACTAAAGAACTAGCCCACAAGTGCAAAATTACTTATATCATTCTGTTAAAATCATACAGTCGCACACTACTGTTAACCACGATGGATCATGGAAAAAGCCAGATAATAATGTGCATAATGGCCGCAGCACAGACTCTTGCTAACGCATGATGCATAGTGTATAAGGAAATCAACCAATCAAAGTTCTTCTTTTCCACGGAATGAGAGAAAAGAAAGATTCTGATTAGTTGATTCGTTTATGCACTATGCTTTAATGCGTTATGCAAAAGTCCGTGCTGCGATCTTTAAAGTGCCATTTCATGAAACGCCGAAAAGCAGCAGAGAGAAATTTGAAAGAGGACATCTTTTTTCGTTTACATATCAAATCTGGTAGAGTCCACGTTTTTGTGGTTCTTTTCCATGCTAATATATACATGGGTTAGACAAGGACGAACATCAAAGTTGATTCGAGTTGATTATCTGTTCTTAGGTCTGTTTTTTATTGCTATACTTTCTGAATTGGTACACATAGTGCAATAAGTTGAAGTGAAACAAATATACATTATATACCGGTTCAGAGTGTAGCAATAAAAAACAGACCTCTTGTCTAATCCATTCAATAGTACGGAAGAGAATCACAAAAATGCGGATATCCTATGAATTGAAACATACACGAAAAAATTAATTATAGGATAAAGAGATCCAAGGATCTTTCTATCCTTTTTGGCCATGTTCCAAATTTATTACCAGCACTGAAAATGTTACAGTTTATGTTACGTGCACAGATTTTTAATAAATTTTGTGCAGTCAATTTTGTAATAGTCTTTGTCGTATGATAAATGTGTGAAGGATAGAGAAGTTCTCGGATCTCTCTATCCTTCACACATTTATCGTACGATAAAGGCTGTATTCCAAAATTGACCGCCCAAAATTTACTGAAAATCTAGTGTATGTGACGTAAACTGTAGCATTTTCAGTGTTGGCAGTAAAGTTTGGAACACGGCCCAAAACGCACAAATCTCACCCAAATGGCTATAGAGGTCACCTGGACCTTCTACAATAAGCCATTAATTATAAGGCTGGGTTTTCTCTTGACGCTACGACGCTCAATTTCAGCATCAGAAACAGATCGCGTGATCAAAGTTAATGTTTGATATTTATCAAATATTTCACGTGATTTATTTTGACGCCAAAAATGAGCGTCAAACATCGGCATGAAAAGGTACCCTAAATCAGAAGTCAGAAGTTAAAAACTGACAACTGTCATTGGTTAATTTTTAACTTCTGACTTCTGATTCATGACTAATGGCTTATTGTAGAAGGCCCATTAAACGGGAAGCACAGACTTTTATATAATGCATAAAACATGAGACATAAGAAAATCAAACAATCAGAGTCATTTATTTCACGGAAAGAAAGGAAATAAAGGACAAAGGTTCAGTTCACTGTAAATTTCCGTTTATGGAACGCCTGTTTTCTTTAGGCTTGTTCTTCTTGACTGAATTTTTGCACTAATTCTCTTCAGGAGGAAAGAAGAGAAAGAAAGATGAACTGGTGCAAAAATTCAGACAAGAAGAATGAGCCTTTTGTTCATATTTATTTCTAACTATAATGCGATCATAATACGAGGTCTATTTGCGTTTCACGAAATCCCCAAATATTTTTGCATTTAAAATTAGATAGATACATATTTTGCCTTAAAAAGAGAGAAAGCGAAGATGTCGAGTGCCAAAAGTGCAAGCAACGCGAACAGACCTACTATTGTAATAATATGAAAGTTGTCAACGTTGATTCTTTACTGTATCTATGACATGGGAACGTATCGAATTGATCTTATTTCTCGTATGTTCTCGTAGTAAGAGCGAAATGAAAGTAAAATGTCAAAATATTCATATATTTTTGCCTTTATTTTTGTTGCTGTTAGTTGATTACGTATTATATGTTGGTAATACTCGCTACGTTTCGATCCGAAGCGTTTACAATCCGATATTTTCAATCTTAGTTTGTTCTACTTCGCTGAGAAAAGTGGATTGAAGTGCATCGAAATTTAACTCGTTTACATCCGAGAAATTCACTTCGAACTCTGAAGTGAATCAGGGAATATTGGGATTGGACTTGGTTGGATGTAAACAAGGCCATTGTTGCATATTATTGCAATATATGGCACACGCATAATAATTTTGAATTATAATAGCGCAACGAAGTTGTGTGTTTGTCTCGCAAACGTACGAATTTCGACTTTCCAATCTTTCCATAGCGAAACCTGCGAGACGATACGGGGTGCGCATGGTTGCATGCTGCCATGATCCAGCTGCCCTAAATGCCGTAATGAGAACTGATAGTCGTCATCTTTCCCACCACTACCATCAGCACCATCAGCACCAGCCGCTCGCTGTCATTGTCATTGTGTTCCTGGCATTTTATTATTGCGGAGGTGTCCATGAAGACGATGTTCCGCGTCACGGAGCAGTATCATTAATAAGTGACGTTCTGTAGCGTTGGCGTTCGATTCATGGATTTTGCATGAGAGAACAGAGGCCTCCTGCCGAGGGAAAAAGAAAGAGATCTACTTACGTACATATATATCTCCTTCAAGTATAAACTGACGTGCTCGTCCATGTGGGATATCTCACAATCCAGAAGTGAGTAAGAAGTGAATCTTCATTTGCCCTACAAACAAATATAATTATATGCACTCGGTGTTTTTTTTTTTAAGGTGGAAAAAAGTTATTGCGCGAATAATTATACGCCGTATGTGATGCGTTGCGCGTTACAAGGTTGACACATGTCGCCGAATTGGCCGTCGGTTGCATAGTGCTGACTGCTGCATACTTGCATAGTAATAAGCCAGGCGAGTAGGTAGGCATAGGAACGTGGAATAGAACGGAACACGCGCTCGATGCTGTATTTCGCATTATGTCATGTCACGTTACTTTACAGTGTCTTATGTTGCACACTATGGATTTCAGATGAAAAGCAGAAAAAGCATTTTGGATGTACGAAATCTCATATTTTTTTCATAATAAATATATATTAAGGCATCGCTAGGAAGAAAATGTACGGTAACATTACGAGCATGAAAATTGAGAGAACTCATTCGTCAGCTTTATTCTGTGTTTAAAGTGAAATTATTACATTCAAATTTTGGAAATAACGTGCAGAAAATATAATTGCAATGAACAATTGCAATGTGTATCTAATTAGAATTTTTTTTTATTTGTTGCATTATCTTTGGCAAAATTTATGATTTTTCCGTTATCTGGCTTATTGATAACACTGGTATCTTTATCTCTACCTCTATATTTTTCAGAAGAATATAAAGAATGTGCAGAGTGTAGTGAAAAAAATCATTCAATTCTCGAGCAAGACATGTAACTTTTTCTTTCTAAATTAGACAATTCCACTTGTGTAATCTACATGTAAAAAAGTCAATTAAAATTGGTAATAATTGACATTGTTATTTAAAAGCAATAATCTTACAAGTCTACTTTTTCTGTGCACACAGAGCGGTCTCACCAATTTCAATTAATTGACCAATTGTATTGGAACTGATCACATTTGTTGTTAAGTAGAAATTAACCAATCTCAGTTAATTAACCGATTAAGTTAATCGAAGTTGATGAAATCAGCCGATATTCATAATCAGAATTCTTATAAGACAGTCTTAAGTACACTAGTCTAAAATGTCATAAGCCAATCACAGAACTGTATTAGCACCTTAACCTCGGATCTACATTTTTAAGCCTTAAACCATCATTAAACCATAAGGAATGAACGAATCAATTATTCTCCTCGTATTCGAGAGTAGTTGATTAATTATGATTTATGGCTTAAAGCTTAAAACATCTATTGTAGATCCGGACTAAGACATTACTTAAAACAGTTTTAAAATAAGAACAGATTATGAACGGTATTCGTAAGTCTGTTCTTAT